GTTAGGCGCGCCTCTCAGTGGCTTCTCACCGTCTTGGGAAAAGGGGGTGCCCCTTTTCCCAAGGGGCGTCGCTTCGAATACGGTAGAAAGGCCCTCGAGGCCAAAGCCAGTTCCAGGTGACGTTTACTAGGTATGCACTTAGGTTTCATGGTGAGTCCCACATAACCACGCAGCTGGCTGCATGGTATGCTAAGAGCATTCACCACCTCCATCCCCCGCTTCCCGGAGGGTAACCCTTTACTTTGATTCTGGGCGCAAAAAAAGGGATGCGTCTAATATTTTCTAAACGCTCGCGTTGGACGGATTTGCGTTCCCGCTGCGCGTGTTAACATTAACAGTAAGAACAATATCATGCTCGATGCTGATAATATAATAACTCTTTTTAGAGACGTTTTTCACGAGACGTTAAGTGTAGCTATAGTTTCATCAGAATCAAATGCAAGGCACTATTTAAATAACATTTACCAGGGCAACTGAGCTTTACCTGGCGTTACAAAAAAATGATCCCACACTAATCAATCGTTTCACGCTTTAAAATGTTCCATAAATTTTGAAGAAATTTACACTGTTTCATGGAGCTTAATAATGAGGTATATAACCTATATTAACAAAGTATCTTATTTGTCCTGTCTAGCTCTTAATTTTTAGTGTTCATGATACAACTAATGTTAAAATTCAAGCCTTGAATCGGTATAAATAAATACGATGTGGAGTATATTGGTTTACGACATTTAAAAAACTGAAAATGTTTCGTTAGGGCTTAATATAAAAATAGTTTAAATAACTAAAACATATTTTAAATGGAATGTAAAAAAACAGTCTTCATTACTTGAAAATGTTAAAAAAAAAAGAAATTTAATTAACTTCAACGCTCTACCATTTGCTGACCTTTGAACAAACTTTGTTGCTCAATTTTCTTTTAAAGGTAATTAGTTTCTGTTACGTACATAAGAAATACTAATGATCTATAAGGTTATATTTATTTATAAATTTTTGGAACTTCGCTTTACATAATTACCAATGAAACTTGTATTAGAACACAACGTTTATATTTAAAAATCAAGTGCTCTACGTTAGTCTCGCTAAAACTCTAAAACGAATGATTTTTTTTGTGTTTGAGTGGAGCCCTGGATCGATTAAGAACTTAATTTGTAGGTAGATGTATCGGTAGATGTCTCGGTAGATGTCTCGGTAGATGGCGCTGTTGTTGAGATCCAGAAATCACCTGTGCAAAGCCGGTGTGGATCGCTAATATAAAATTAAAAAGATGATCAAAACCACTCACAAACAAGGCTACAAGTACAAAAAGGAAAAATTCAGTAAAATCAAAAATAAAAGTACTACTTATTACAAATTATTAAAGATTTGTATAAGAAAGTCTGAACAAATAAATTATAATAAATACTTAAACAAATCACAAAACAAGTGTAAGGCATTATGGAATATAATTAAACATAATACAAACTAGTAGCGCAAAAGAAATTGAAGAAATAAAAAATAATGACATTATTTACAATAATCTTATTGATATCTATGAACTATTTAACAATTATTTTACTAACTTGACAATACCAAAAAAAAACATTGACTATGGATACATGACTTACTTAAAATGTTACGGCAGTTAATGAAAGTTAGATAAAGATCAACATTTAATATTAATACAAAAATAGTAAAAATATGCGTTCCCTACATAGCAGCTACCCTTTCTACACTTGTAAATAGATCGTTTAAGCAAGGTGTTTTCACGAACGCTTAAAACATCTATCGTAAAACCGCTATTTAAAAAAGGTGATGCTACTTATACGGGTAACTACAGACCAATGACGCTTGTACCGATAATTTTAAAAGTTTTTGAGCAGACTATGGTAATAACAATCACAATCTTTCTAGAAAAAAATAATATCTTATCACCTTATCAATTCGGCTTTCAGAAGAACAGCTCAATGAGATTAGCGTGTTTCCCTTTAGAAAAAAAATTTGTAGAAGGCCTAAATAACAAAATGTCAGTGGCTTATCTATTTTTAGACAAGTAAATCATTTGACCATGTATGCCACATACTTTAACTCAAAACTTTGAAAAATACAATACAAGAGGGAAAGCATCTGACTGGATAAAGAGCTATTTATGAAATCGCGAACAACACTCGAAAATCGATAAAATAATAAACAACATGAAAGTTATTTTTAAATATGAGCTAATAAATAAAAATTTTGGTACACCACTAGGACCGATTCTTGCTCCATTACTCTTCTTGGTTTACATAAACGATCTACCAAGGGCAATTGATCAGGAGTGCATATTATTCGCAGATGAAACAACGCTCATTATAAAATGTAGCTGATGTTTAAAAAGTAACTTATTTAATATGATAATAGTAATAATAGATAATGAATTAAGGTTCCGCGCAAAAAAATTTAAACCCTAAATTGAAGTTTTTGTTTTGCGACGTTTAAGATTTATAGCTTCTCAGAAAATAGCCGTTATTACCTATCATGGATATGTATTATCCCTCTTACGATATGGATTGATTATGTGGAGAAATTCCGTTTATGCGGAAAAAGCATTTATAGATTTTTACATGTACCACAACAAAGTGACACAATATGCATATTGGTTCAATTAAGTATATATATTTCTAAACTTGTGAAATATTGAACACTTTCTTTGCTTTAAACAAGACACAATAGAGATGGACATATGAATATTTAAAAAAATCGCCTGTTAATATCAAAAATATCAATGTTGTAACAATTTCGAATGCATGTAATTATTATTCAGAATAATTGAAACGGTATTAATAAGTTAAATTCATAATTTGTTATTATTGTTATTAGGTGTTGTTATTATTATTATTATTATGCGATAAGCATAATATTATTTTATTGACAACTTATCGTTATAATGACTTTGTAAAAAACTATGAATTTATAATTGTACTATTTCTACGCCGATACCGGTAAGACATGTGAATGATCCTAAATGTTATAATGCAACAAGTTATTGTAGGTACCGTGTCTTTGAAATTATAAATAAATAAATTAAAACCTTAAATCGTTTTTCAAAAAAACGATAATGTTTTAAAATAATCGTCTATGCTTTAAAAATCGTCTTTGATTATCTCAAATCTAAATAATGCTACAGAAATATATTCTACGCAGGCGAAGCCATAGCTGTCGTCTGTTCGTGAAGTTTCATCACAATCGGTTCAGCCATTATGAAGATTATCCCTGATAGTCAGACAGATAAAAAAATAATTGGCATGCAAATAACTATATATATATATATATATATATATATATATATATGTATCAGAATAACAATGTAAAAAAGCAGCTTAATACCGCTGTGTTATGTAGAGTGAGTGTAGAGAACTAAAGACCCTTTGCAATGGAAACTACGCATTCCATCTTCTTAGTCCTCATGTGTGACAATGCATCCACATTACGTCGTCTACTTAGCATCAGGTGGACGGTGTGTTTATTTGGAACCATTATTCTATAAAAACATAAATTAAATTAAGTACGAAAATTGTTATTTACGTTCATAATGCTAATGTCAAACACAAAACTTAAGTTCAATCATCATACGGAAAACGGTAGCATTAAGCTGCATTGTATTTGTAACACTTAATACATACCAATTTTAGCTATCTGTCACTCCTTCTCAATATGAAATCTCACACTCCTTCGGACGCGCAATATGCTAAAAAGGGATACAAAGTTTTCTCTTTACTTATTAATACATATAACAGCCAAAGTTTGTAAATTTCCGGCCGGGTGTCCTTTGGGAGATCCCAAAGCCGCGGAATTATTAAACATATGATTCCCTTACTCCCTTCGAGAATTTAAGGCTTTATAAGTTCATATTTATTTGTTTTCAGTTTTTTGTGTTTAAAATCAAAAAAAATTCAAATATCTCTACTAATAATACTTTGCTTTAATAATTCCCCATGATAAACGCATTTTAATATAACTTGCATTACATATCTTGATAAAAAAACATTAGCGATTATAGGTCATTAATATGCATATAATCAATATCCACAATATGTGGCACATGCAAATAGTAAAATATATGTCGGGTTCCACTCCATTAGAACGCCATAGTTTATGTAACTGAAATTCCTATGAGAGATTTATGATAGTTTTGTCGCATCGCCACAGTTTTAAATCACTCCCCTTGTTGCCTCAGCCATTATCGGAATCCTCGGCATTGACATATCTAGTAACGTGCAGTTTCGTGGTCACTTGGAAGAGAAGGCCAAATTGGCTTCCAAAAAGCTTGGCGTGCTCAGCAAAGTGGGACAGTATTTCATGCCGGCACACCACCTGCAACTTTACAAGGCGCGGGTTTGACCTCACGTGGAATACTGTTCCCATATCTGGGCTGGGCCTCCCCAGTGTCAGCTCCTTCCACTTGACCACATCCAGCGCATAGCGGCTTGAATCGTCAACGACCGAGTCCTTTCCAATCGGCTCAATTCACTGGCGCTGCGAAGAGATGTTGCATCTCTTTGCATTTTCTTTCGCATCTCCCACGGGGAGTACTCTGAGGAATTTCCAAATTTTCGCCAAATTTCACGAACGCACATTGCGGCAATACTCCTGATACCATCCATACCATCTGGATGCTTGACGGTACACCACTGTATGTTTCACTGGGAGTTTTATTCCGCGTGCGACCTATCTGTGGAATAGTTAAATATAAAAAATAGCAGCGGCAGTCAATTACTCAGCTGAACCATATGCTTGTATGCTCCCCCCCTCTCCTATAAAAAATAAAATTAAAAAAAGTTGTATTACATGAATGAATCAGGGTTAAATTATAACAATTTAATACGGATCTGGAAGTTTGCTGTGTGCGGTTTGTTATACCCCATCAATGTTAGGAGATCGGTTAATGCATCTCTTTCACGCTGCTGCGTCAGCACAATAAAGCCTATATAACCGACCTCCCGACAAACGCCCATAAGTCAATCGGGAATCAAGAATCATTCAGTCAAGTCAGTCGGGAATCAAGAATCAATCTACAAGTCAGTCTCGTTCCAATCTCAGTCTCGTTCATACATCGTTACTAAGTCGTTTCTATATCTTTACTAAATCTTTACTATATCATTCTAAGTCCCAGTTATTCTAAATCCTAAGTTAAATAAATCTTATTGTTAATTCTAACCAATTATATTGTGTTGTGTAAATAAAATCGTTTTTTCAAAACCTCTATCCACGGTCCCGTATAATATTGGTGGCAGCGGTGGGATACGAAAATCCCCTACCCGAATACGTTTCCGAAGAAATATATTATCCAAGAATTAATAAACCGAACTCTAACAAGTGCAACTAAATCAAAGTGAAAAATAAGTAAAATTAAAAGTTTAAACAAAGTGAAAGTGCATCAAGAAAATCAACATCCAGCCTGTTCCAAGCACAGGCCTTCTGCATCAACCAGCATCCTACTCATCACCCTCATCATCCTCACTAGCACACAGGGGTGTGTCTCCAGCATACAATGAACACAAATGCAAGATTATTCATCATTCTATCACTACTCCTGTAAGTGATCTTCTTTAAACAATTATTATTGAACTCAGAGCAAAGACATTCTTTAATTTAATTTAAAATATAATTTATCTCCTAACCATTTCATTTTCATGTTACAATATTTCAAATTTAAACTGTATTCATTGTTCTATGCATTAACTGTGATTTCATTGTTGAATGTATTTATGTTACGATAAGCATTAGTTAACATTGTTCTGTGTTGTGTTGTTCATTGTTATATAGCCGATAAGCGGTCTACGATTTAATTTTAATTTGTAATAACTACTTCAATACCACAATGAGTAAATGTGAAGAAACTCCCTGTGCCTCTAAAAACTTACCAATGCGCGGTGAAGCTGAGGAAAAATTTGTAGAAATCGGTGTGTTATTAAAATTCATTAAACCTTTTGATGGATCACGAGGAAAACTAAATCCGTTCATATCCAATTGCCAAAATGCTTACAGTTTAGCTTCCAAATCACAAAAATCGATATTATTTAAATATATACTTAGCCAATTAGAAGGTAGGGCGGAAACAACGTGCAGCATAAAAGATTTCGAATCGTTTGAACAGTTTTTAGAATTTTTAAAACAACAGTTTGGTGAAAGAAAGCATTACTCTCACCTCCTGTCAGACCTACAGGATTGCAAACAGAACGCCACAGAATCAGTAAATCAATTTGCTTTAAGGATAGAAACATGCCTAGCTAAATTTCTAACTGAAATAAATATTTCCATCCCAACTAAAAGGAAAACGGAACTATCAGGTCGCGTAGCAGCTATGGAGGACCTAGCCCTCCACACATTCGTAATAGGACTCCACCCACGTTTATCCCAGATAGTCAGGTGCCGCGACCCTGACTCTTTAAATTCAGCCGTGAACTTCGCAGTTGCCGAAGAAAAGATCCTCTCCAGCATAGGGAAAAGACCTCAACCGCCACAATCTCAACCTATATACAACGAAAGACGATCGCCGCCCCGTCGTAACATACCTTTTCAACAAAACTACCGCACCGACAATTTTAGGCCCAACACTAATGTATTTTGTCGATATTGTAAGAGTGTCGGTCACACCATAGAGAACTGTCGTAAACGCCAATACAACCATAGCAAACAACAATTCGGTACATCAACCTCACAAGGTCCACCTCATATATTCCAGCAGCGTGGCGAACACACACCGCATAAAATCCACTCTGTCGAACAGGTGGGCATGTTAGACCAAGGACACGATGAGGTTGACCATAATTTAAACGAATAAAGGGCTCTCGGCGGTGTCCCGCGGGTCCAAGGCCTCGTATACACACTATTTCAATTCCAAACGACACCTCCACTGTATCTACTGTATCCAATCGACTTAACCGACAGGGTAACCAGCCCCAAACTGACAAGTCGAACTCCACTGTATCCACTGTATCCAATCGACTTAACCGACAGGGTAACCAGCCCCAAACCGACAAGTCGAATATCACTGTATCCACTGTATCCAACCGACTTAACCGACAGGGTAACCAGCCCCAAACCGACAAGTCAAACATCACTGTATCCACTGTATCCAATCGACTTAACCGACAGGGTAACCAGCCCCAAACCGACAAGTCAAATATCACTGTATCCACTGTATCCAAACGACTTAACCGACAGGGTAACCAGCCCCGAACTGACAAGTCCAATATCACTGCATCCACTGAATCCAATCGACTTAACCGACAGGGTAACCAGCCCCAAACCGACAACTCAAATATCACTGTATCCACTGTATCCAAACGACTTAACCGACAGGGTAACCAGCCCCGAACTGACAAGTCCAATATCACTGCATCCACTGAATCCAATCTCCATGCACGAATCCCTGTAAAACTTACCAATCCTAAAGTCTCATACGCATCCGTTGCAGCATCACACATTCCTAACTCGCATAAGATATCCTTGCAACCCACTGAATCTGTTCCTCCGGTCAAACATTCCAAACGCATTAACTTCCAGAACCAGCATAACTTAAATCCAAATGTCACATCGCTTCCAGCGCACAACCTGAAATCAGAAACAAGACAAATTAAAGTTTATGAAATAAATAGTAATATAGAGAAAAGATACTTACCTCATGTTATGATACAAACATCCGTTGCAACAAAGCCATTATCCTTCCTAGTAGATACCGGTTCATCTGTAAGCCTACTAAAATCAAAATCCATATCAAACCTTCCAGTTCTAAGTAATGAGATAATAACACTTAAAGGAATCGACCCCGGAGACGAAACAACTCCTACATTAGGCAGCTTCCCAATGAAAATATACATAAACTCTTATAAATATTTTTCACACGAATTTCATGTTGTTCAAGATCTTAACCTAAATCATGATGGAATTATCGGTAACGATCTTATTAGGGACTTTCAATGCCAAATCAATTTGTCTCAAGGAATGCTACAAATAGGTTCTAATTCAATTAAACTCAACTTTTCCGAACCCGTGTATACAATCTCCCCTCGCACGGAAACTGTAATCGAATGTACAGTTAATAACCCAGAAGTTCGCGAAGGAGTGATTCTAGATCAACACATCTCTAACTCGCTATTAATTGCAAATTGTTTAGTTAAAGTAAAGGAAAACAACCGCGTCAATATTACAGTAGTAAACACTTCCGAGAAACCTGCTATAATTCACCCAAATCTTAATTTAAAAATAGAGCCAGTACAGCTTGAAAACACCATAGCTTTTTCCAAACCATCAGTCTACAACGTGTCAAAAAGGACAAACGAAGTCCTCAAACAATTAAGAACCTCTCACCTTAATAGCGAAGAGAAAAACGCTTTATTGGACATATGTTCGAACTATTCAGATATATTCCACCTCCCAGACGACCAACTCACGTGCACCACTGCAATCGAACATAAAATTAAAACTAACACAGACGTCCCTATCCAAACAAAATCCTATAGATTCCCCGAATGCCACAAGAAAGAAGTGGAATAAAAAATAAGTAAAATGCTAGATCAAAACATCATAACTCCCTCAAACTCACCATGGTCCTCTCCTATTTGGGTCGTTCCCAAAAAATTAGACGCATCAGGGGAACGTAAATGGCGTGTCGTGATTGACTACCGTAAACTCAATGACGTCACCATCGGGGAAACATACCCTATTCCTCAAATAACTGAAATCCTTGACCAATTGGGGAAATGCCAATACTTCACTACTCTGGATCTTGCATCAGGATTCCATCAAATCCCTGTATCATCTGAAGATGCACCTAAGACTGCCTTCTCAGTACCTCAAGGTCACTTCCAGTTCACTAGAATGCCCTTTGGCCTTAAAAACGCTCCAGCTACCTTCCAAAAACTCATGAATACATGCCTCTCTGGCCTCCAAGGCTCCCGCTGTTTCGTTTACCTCGACGACATAGTTGTCTATTCTCACGATCTTAACTCTCATATACAAAATCTTGCCTCTGTCTTCAGTAGATTAAGAAACTATAATCTTAAGCTTCAACCCGACAAATGTGAATTCCTATGTAAAGAAGTCGCTTATCTGGGACATCTCATCAACAACGATGGCGTAAAACCAAACCCAGAGAAATTAAAAGCAATCTCCGAATTCCCTGTTCCCAAATGTGCTAAAGACATAAAATCCTTCCTGGGACTGGTCTCTTACTATAGACGGTTCATTCCCGACTTCTCCAAATTAGCCAAACCTCTTACCTCACTCCTTAAAAAGGATACTCCTTTCTGCTGGAAAAATGAACAGCAATTAGCCTTCGAAGTACTTAAGAAAAAACTTACCACTTCACCAGTTCTGGCATATCCAGATTTCTCAAAACCTTTTATACTAACTTGCGACGCTTCTAGTTTCGCTATTTCAGCAATCCTATCCCAGGGAAAAATAGGAAAAGACCGTCCTATAGCCTTCGCTTCCCGCACTTTAAACAAAGCAGAGTGCAATTATAGCGTGACTGAAAAAGAGTGTCTCGCTATCGTTTTCGGAACCAAAGCATTTCGTCCTTATCTCAATGGACGCACTTTTACCATCGTCACGGACCATAAGCCTCTACAATGGCTGTTCAGTTGCAAAGACCCAGGATCCAGACTAATCCGTTGGCGACTCAAACTTGAAGAATTCGACTATATCATCGTCCATAAAAAGGGTAAAATTAACACCAACGCTGACGCTCTCTCCAGATTTCCTGTTAATCCCATTCAACACCCAGAGTCCCAAGTGGAAAATCATTCCCCTCCTTCATTCGACCATATCACACCCGAAGAATTAGAAAGACAGCTCCCTTCTATACCTAATCCCGATAGCAATGAAACACCTTTAATTGACCTCCTCGAAGATCTCGAAATTCCCCTAAATAATAGTCCTATCCTACAGCCAACTAATAACACTAATCCTAATCCTTCTAGTTCAGTAGATCCTCAACCCTCTACAACCGATCAAATATTTGACTTTGACGATTTCATTCTCCGAGACCTAGATGCTTACGGTGACGATCTCAATATTAACACTGATTCACTTAATCTGCCTACACCTCCACCTGAAAATCTACCAATTCCGCCAAACCAACTTCCAACTCCCTTCCGTCACTCGCCGATACCTGAAACGTCACCTGTCCCGTCGAATCAACCAAATTTACTATCTTCAACTGTTCCCACACCTGAACCAGAAAATGAAAAAGTAAACGAGACGCAAAACAATAACTATTCCCAATTCCTAAAATCCATCTCAAATAAAGAATTTATACCAAACACCACCTTAAAAGAACACAACGAAAACCTGTTAAAATCATCCTTTAAAACAATTATAATTCCTACCTCTATTGACCTAGACGAATCAAATCCCTACATCTCCGAAATCCTATCAAATTTAGAAAACAAAGAGGAAATTATAAAAGCTGAAAAAGAATTATTTTCATTCCAAAAGTTACAATACTTAGATAAAACAATATATTTTATATTCACGAAGGTCCATTACTTCGACGAAACACCCTATCCTGCAATATATGAAACACTGCAACGAATAAAAAACAAAATCCTTCAAACAAATGACGTAACAGACATCGCAATATCTGACTTCCGGAACCCTTTCGACAGACTTTCCCACTCCAAAATCTATAATATACTTACCTACATATTCAACAACTCTAAAATCTCTATCCATATTTATCGTAATCAAATAATATACCCTACTCTAAGTGAAAGACCAAAAATCCTTCGGGATAACCACGATATCCCAATAGCAGGACATCTAGGTTCAACCCGGATGTATAATAGGATTCAGGACCAATATTATTGGAAAGGAATGAGAAGTGACATAGAAGACTATGTCAAGAAGTGCAAAGCCTGTCAAGAAAATAAAGCTCTCAGGAAAATAAACAAAGCCCCTATGGAAATCACTACTACATCCACTGCTCCCTTTCAACGCGTAGCTCTAGATATCGTAGGACCTCTACCCGAATCCGGAACCGCTAAACTCCGCTATATACTCACCTTACAAGACGACCTAACAAAGTACTCTGTAGCATATCCCATACGTAGCACGACAGCCGAAGAAACCAGCGATTGCCTCATCCACTTCATCTCCTTATTTGGAATACCCAAATCAATCCTAACAGACCAAGGGACAAATTTCACATCCGACCTCTTCAAAACTACATGCCAATTCCTAAAAATCAAGCAGTTATGGTCTTCACCCTATCATCCACAAACTCAAGGAGCACTAGAACGCAGCCATTCCACTCTCAAAGAATATCTAAAATCATTCGTCAACACAAATCAAAATAATTGGCCCACTTACGTCTACACCGCTATACTTACATACAATACCACTCCACATACCACTACAAAATTCACTCCTTATGAGCTAGTCTTTGGACAAAAACCCTACATTCCCAATTCTATATATGAAAGAAGCTCCGGAATAACCTATTCCGACTATATTAAAATGTTACAACACAAAATCAAATATACACGAGAAATGGCCGTAGAAAACATTTTAAAATCTAAAGAATCCTCCAAAGCTTATTATGACTCTCACACCAGAACTCCTCCCCAATATAAATCTGGCGATTACGTTTACCTCAAAAACCATTTAAGACAAGAAAAGGCACTCTCACCCGTCTGGAAAGGACCTTTTAAAATAATTCGTGTCCACAACAACCATACGGCCACACTATTAATTAATAGACGTCACGTAACTCATCACTTCGACGAATTCAAACCGGCTGAAATGTCCGGAATAATTTAATTTAAATTAAGTATTGGTTATCTAAAAATATTATGATCTATATTAATTTTAGTAAATAAAATGTTATTGTTTTAAATTTCTATTAAATAACTTTATATTCATATTTCATTTATATCACTTTCAGTGTCTCGTCCCAGGCGCAACCGGAAATGGTTCAGTCGCTTCCTTCTAGCTCCGGCATCTACTTTGATAAGATAGGGAATTTAAAATTAATTAGAGGTAAATTAGATGTTGTTAGCCACATAGACATTTCTTATATTGAACCACACTTAACTAATCTTAACGAAATTCTAAAAACTGTAAAGCTTCTATGTCAACAATCGAATAATCTTTATTGCGATAACACGTTGTCTCCTTTAACAACTCGTTTCAATGACATCAAACGGGAATACGACTCGATCTCCCATTTAATATCCAAACGTAATAAACGTTCCGCGTGGTTTAGTGCAGTAGGCACCGTATTCAAACACATCTTTGGTACTATGGACGAAGAAGACGCCATAAAATACGACTCCGCCATAACCTCGGTTCAAAAGGACGAAAAGGAACTCGCCCAATTCCTAAAAGAAAATATTTTAATAACAACTACCTCATTTAATACATTTAATAAAACTATAAGCAAAATAAAATACAACGAGGAAATATTAAATTACGCATTAAATACAATATTAAACAATAGAATAGAATAGAATAGAATAGAATAGAATAGAATGATTTTTTATTCAATATGGATTATTACATAATACTTATTGAAAGTCATTATTTTATTTACCACTGGTTCGGAAAATACCTCTGTCCTGGGAAGAACCAGCAAGAAACCCAGCGGGACTTTTTTTTTTAAACATAATTTCACTTAACAATAATTTTGTTTATACAATTTTAAATGAATTTTCATAGAACCAGCATGGTGGCGATCACCTTATTCCCAGGGGTTATTTTCATTCATGTATTCCTTGATATTATAATAACCCTTTTTGTACAGTTTTTCTTTAATAAAACTTTTAAACTTGTTTATTGACAAACTTTGAACATGTTCTGGGATTCTGTTGTAAAAGCGTATACATTGCCCCATAAATGAATTACTAATTCTGTGGAGTCTTGTAAGTGGCATTACAAGCTTATGTTTGTTCCTAGTGTTTAAGGTATGAACATCCTTATTCTTATTAAAGCTATTTATGTTTTTATGTACATACATTACATTTTCATAAATATATTGCGATGCCAAAGTTAATATGTTTATTTCTTTAAATTTTTCTCTAAGGGACTCTTTACAATTTAGATTATAAATCGCCCGTACGGCTCTCTTTTGCAAAACAAATATAGCTTCAATATCAGTCGCATTACCCCATAGCAAAATTCCATAAGACATTACGCTATGAAAGTAACTAAAATACACTAACCTAGCTGTCTCAACATCTGTGAGACTTCTAATCTTTCTTACAGCATATGCTGCAGAACTAAGTCTGCTTGCTAATTTAGATATATGGGGGCCCCATTGAAGTTTCGCGTCAATAGTAATACCGAGAAAAACAGTGGTATCCACAAGACTCAACTCCTCCCCATTTAAGAGCACATTGGTTTTCGAATGTTTTACATTAGGTATTGTAAATTTAATACATTTTGTCTTATTGCCGTTTAAGAGCAAATTGTTGGCGTTAAACCAATGTACTAGTTTCGATAGAGCATTATTTACATCGTCATATTTAATTGACTGCCGTTTCAGTTTGAAAATTAAAGAGGTATCGTCAGCAAATAATACTATATCGTGATTGTCCCCTACAAGATAAGGTAAGTCATTAATATAGATTAAGAACAGGAATGGGCCAAGAATCGAGCCCTGAGGAACGCCCATTGATACTACTGATCCGGAGTAACATTTACCATTAATGACGACTTTTTGAGTTCTGTTACTTAAATATGAAGTAATAAGTTTAAGCGCCAAATTTTTTACACCGTAATGTTGTAGTTTCCTGATTAATGTATCATGATGAACACAATCGAAAGCCTTGGAAAGGTCACAGAAAACACCTAAGGCATCTTGTGAATTCTCCCAGGCATTAAAAATATATTTCATAAGCTCAACACCAGCGTCAGACGTCGAGCGACCCCTTGTAAAACCAAATTGATTTTTATGAAGTAATTTATTTGTATTAAAAAAAATTAACAATTGATCCAAAATTATTTTTTCAAAAATTTTACTGAGAGTTGGTAGTACAGAAATAGGTCTATAATTAGCGGGGTCCAATGTACTACCAGATTTAAATAAAGGTATTACTTTACTATACTTCATTAAATCAGGAAACACACCAGAATCGATACAAGTATTAAAAATAATAGCAAGATGAGGTGCAATTAAATCTATTATGGACGCAATCACTGTAACGGAAATCCCCCACAAATCTGCGGTTTTCTTTACATCAATGGTTTTGAAGTATTTTACAATATTATGCGGTAATACTTTTTCAAATCTAAATTCTTTTAAACAGGTATTAACTTTCTGTTTAAGTAATGATTCGGCGACAGTTGGAGAAGCATTCAATGACTCTGTTGCCAAGATAGGAACATCAGTGAAATATTTCTCAAACACCGCTGCAACTTCTTGATTTGATTTAGTCAATTCATTATTAATTTTTAATTGATAGTTTGAATTACGAGGTTTCTCTTTACCGGTTTCGCTGTTAATTATACTCCACGTCATTTTAATTTTATTCTTAGCTGTCTTAATTTTGTTACTAATATGTAATGATTTGGCTGTGGAGCAAACTCTTTTAAACATTTTAGAATAATTTTTTACATATTCTTTAAAAGCATCGGAAAGATTATACGATCTTTCATGGTAAAGGTCATATAACCTTCGTCTGCTTTTATGAATTCCTACTGTCGCCCACTCATTAAATGCCTTGCGACTGTTTCTGGAGAATGTTTTAGAAGTGAATGTTTTATTAAATTCATTGTTTATAAAGGTAAATAATTCTCTATATAAATAGTCTGCATTGTTCTTATAAGAAAGGGATGGAAGGATTTTTAACATATTACTTCTAAATCTCTCCAGGCGTTTTGCATTAATAGGAACAAACACAATTTTCTCATTTACCTGTTTTTTGTGCATATAAGGTAATGAAACCAGTTGTCCACAGTGATCTGAACTAAGTTTTTGTATTATTGATTTGTTGATTGGTACAACACCTGTAAAAATATTATCAATACAAGTTGCACTACACCCTGCAATACGTGTAGCTTCAAAGAATAAATTATTAAGATTATAGGATTTGAACAAAGAACAGAATTTAATACTGATAGAAGAAGTTTCCAGGAGATTGATATTAAAGTCTCCACACACTACAAGAGATTTATTCTGTTTATTAAGCTTAACTAAAACTTCTTCCATAATTTTTTCAAAAGTATCATAACTTGAACATGGGGGTCTGTAAACACTGACAACAATAAGGTGCTCAAGCTCAACACATGCCATTTCTACAGTACGCTCAACAGAGAGGCTCACAATGTCTTTACGTTCTTTACATGATAAGGACTTATTAGCTAATATTAAGGAGCCACCACGTAATTTAGTATCTCTATTGAACGAACTGACCACCTGGTGATTACTGAAATTAAATATGGAGTTGTATTCTTTCAACCAATGTTCTGTAATACATAAAATATTTATACTGTTACTATTTAAAAACAAATCAATTTCTAATTCTTTGCCTAACATACCTTGTATATTTTGATGCACCAGGTTGATACAGTTTTTATTATTGTTATTTTGTAAAATTGCATAATTATGTATTGGTAAGTTGCATTCTAAGCTATTTAAATTATCTTTGCTAGAGATTACCTCTATTGTCTTATTATCTAATTTAAATTACTTGGAACTGGTTCCAAATCAAATATAAAATTATTTTGTTGCTCAAAAGAAGCAGGTGTCAAGGTAGCCAAATCATTGGCTGAGTTAAAATATAAATAATAAGATAGCGTATTTGCTACCAGTCTTAAACTATACTTTGATAGGTAATACCTATCTCTTGTCAAAAACTTCTTAGTTAAATTATTAATATCAATTAAATGAAATTTATCATTATTATTCTTACAATTAAATGTCAAATTTAAGTTATTGTTACATGTCAAGTTATGCATCATTAAATTTAAATTATGTCTTAGTTTATTTTCCTGTGGCCACCCCTCTATGTAAGGCAATGTAAACAAGATAACTTTAACCACATTTATGTTATTGAGATATTCAATATATTTTAATAATTGATTCTTGTTCATATTGCCTCTTCTCCCAACAAAAATTATTAATATACTATTAGGGTTAAATTTACTAGTTAAAATAAATACAAATAATATCACCAATGACTTATTAATTGAATCAAAGGTCCATTCAGTATTTAGTAGCCTCGAAGCTTCGTTACTCGCCTTATCATTCCAATTGGAGGACATAACCAACTCCATTGTTCTAAGTAGCCAAAACATCCTACATCCGAGTGTTTTGTCCCCGACGCAACTATACAAAGAACTCATTGATAACGATAGGCACCTACCTAGAGACGCAGGGATACCCATAGCATTAAGCATAAATAATATTCATTTAATTTTAAGTATTTCCGATGTTTCCTGCTGTTTCCTAAATAATAAAATTGTTTTCATCCTACAAATCCCTCTTACAATGAATGAACAATTTAACTTATACCATAGCATAGCTCTACCTATTCCTCATAACATAACCAGCCTGAACATCTTTAGTTTAATCCTACCTTCAACTTCCTACATCGGAATATCTAATGATAAGTTAAGTTACTGTAATTTAGATAATATAAGTAATTGTAAGTCTATACGCTCTGAGTTCTACCTGTGTAAAGTCCCGACCATATCATTAACAAGTGGTAACCCTACGTGTGAAAGTGAACTTCTTTCTAAGACATTCAGTGCTCTACCCGTTCAGTGCGAAACCAAAACACTATTTAGTGAAATGGACATCTGGAAACCACTAGTGAACA